GTCCGGCGTTAGGATTAAGTTAGCGGCTCTCTGTGCGAGTACCGAGAGTATCGAGCAGAGCGGAGGGGCGAAGCCCCGGAGAGTACTTGTAATTGCTTCACTGCTGTAATTTATCATACTTGCTTCATTACATTCCTTTCAAATATAATTGTTCTTATTATTACGTTTTCGCGTGGTTTATTCTTGTGGCCTATCTCTCTCGCCCTCCGCCAAATTTCCCACACCCCTTGTGACCCACCCCCTGCTGTCGCGAAAACGTTACGGGCAAAAGTGAGGAGATTTCGAAAAGAGTGGCACGCTCTCTCGTGCCTGGCGCCCAACTTAGAATAAGAATTATAATTTTGGCCGAAGAACCGCCTGGCTGTCGCAAAATTCCGCTACCGAGGGAGAGAAGATACTTTTGCGTACTTTGAGTACTGAGAACACGCGACGAAGTTGTGCCGTTACTCGCGAGTACGGTTACAATACATAGAACGCGATCGGTTCAGCCGTTATTGAGATCCGATAATCTCGATCTGCCGCAACTCGTCGTTTCGCGTAAAGGAGGCACGGCAGTGTTGCTGCGCGTAGCTTCGCGCCGAGACATTACCTGTACCTCCAGATCAGGCCTGTCCAACGCTGCTCGTGAGTCGAAAACGCTTCCAGCTCTCTGTCATCTCGGTAGAGCGAGATGAAGCTAAAATAACAAAGGATAGGCGGCAGGACTCCGCCTGAATTCAGATCTGTCCGAGAGTCATAGAAAGAAGAAACCGAGGGAGAACCCAATTCTCAAAATAAATTATAGTAGCTGTTACGTCCTGAGTCGCGTGTTTTCTAATAGGGGAGGCCAAGCGGAGATTTTGGGATTTACTCGAGCGCGTCAGAATAACATAAAGGGGGAAAGCTTGCACCCTAATAAGTACCCCCACCACATATTAAACCTCTATATAGAGCCGGGGGTTCAGGGGAGCCCGTCAAATTAGTATCTAACTCGATCGCGTCAGATTAAGGTATGGTGTGTTAATTACATGTAGAAAAGTGTACATTTCGATAATCTGACGATTTCAGCGTGACGTAAGGAAATGGGAGAGTCACAAAGTTGCAAAAAAAAGATTTTTTGACCCCTTCCTACAGCTAACCCCACCACGCAAACCGTCAGATTAATATTTATCCGTTATCAGAAACACATGGGTCGCTTACATTATTAATATCTGACACGCTCGAGTACTGTACACGCCTGTACACGCCGTAAAGCCTGTACACGCTCCCCCCACCACTGAAACCGCCTACCTTTCCTTTTTTTCTTTTTAGCATCTAATCTTCACAATCCAATAGGTCCCCACGACGCTCGAGTAAATCCACATTTAGCCTCTCGGCCTCCCCTACTATTCGTACAAAGCGGTCCCGAGACGCGACATAAAGGGTGCGTTCCGAGTCACGCATGAAGCGCGTAGACCGCATAGAAAGTCGTTCCGAGTTAGCTATTGCGCGCTTCGAAAGCGCTTCGAGAGTACTTGAATTCCCCAGATTGTACTAACCGTACTGAATTCTTAGCACTCCTCCCAGCGCATTGACTGCTTCTCTTTCGACTTGAGGCAGTGAAAGCGTTTCATGCGTTGATGCAGTCTAAGCGTTTGTTAGATAATTCGAAACGCACTCAGATTGCACCGATTGCAAAGCAGTCACCGGTTCCTACAGATTGAAGTCTGGAAACGCTGCTCCGAGTTGTGTTTGCTCGTGAGCTCTATCGTTCGCACGAAGGCATATTTTTGTACAAGATCCTCGGCATCCACGCTCGAC